CACATATCATATCGGACACAAGTGTCCATGTTGATGAATCATAGCTTAAAACTTACGTCAAATAGTGTACAAGTCTTGTTAGTTTAGTGAATAAGTCAGTATTTTGTCCCATGCGTTCGAATCCGATTAGACATATTAACAATTTATTTGAACAGCTGCTGTAATTTAATATGATAAAAAAAATTAAAATTTTTATGATGGCTTCCTGTTTATGAGACAAATTAGGGAAAAATCAAAATTTATTAGGATACAAATTCTTATCTGTGGCTCCCTCGTACCCTTTAGAAGGAGAGCTTCTTACCCCTCTTCCAACCCCATTACCGCGAAGGCCGATCTGGATAGAGAAGGGTCAGCTTTCATTTGGAAAAGTTTGTTATGAGGTAGGGGAGTGCTGCTAGATGGGTAGGCTTGGAGAGTAGGAGACGGCATGGTACACGGGGAGTGCTACCTATGGCTTCCACAGCCAACGTCTTTTTCATTGATATGCATAATGATTCGATGAGGTGGGCGAGCTTATGGATGTGGGATGTATTGGGAGGGATTTTTGGGCTATTGATTTTGGACAATTTTCTTTCGAAGGGGTGGAGAAATAGATTTATCATTGAGTTTTACTACACGTACATCGAAGTGTCACACTCCCCTCACACGGGATATTTCAAGATTTTTTTATTGTCGTGGAGCCCATCCACTCATGTGAGAGGAGTGTACATCGAAATGTCAATCTTGATATACAAATAGCATTTTCCTTCGTCATTATACTTCAATTCAATTTAATCGAAAATATTCGCAACACTCTCATATTGTTTATGATATCATAGCAATTTTTCTATTCACCAAGTTGGAATGTCAACCGTGTAACGAAGATGGTCACACTACGAAAATTTCTACTCACCCAAAGTCAAAACATATCGAAACAAATTTCGACAAGGCTATCGCAAGCAAATATTATGACTTGTCAATCTGCGTCCAACAATAATCGGATTTTTGTCAAAATACTCGAGCAACATAGATAATAAAGACATTATTGCAAACGTTAGTAATAATAATTCTAATAATAATTCAATATCCACTACGAAAATTTCTACTCACCCAAAGTCAAAACATATCGAAACAAATTTCGACAAGGCTATCGCAAGCAAATATTATGACTTGTCAATCTGCGTCCAACAATAATCGGATTTTTGTCAAAATACTCGAGCAACATAGATAATAAAGACATTATTGCAAACGTTAGTAATAATAATTCTAATAATAATTCAATATCTCGTATCGTTTCCCGTTCTATAGCAATTGGCACTTATCAACAATCATTTTCTGCTACTACGTTCTCTTTAAGATACGCCGACAAACCTCTCTCTCACTATCACTCTCTCACACACATTCATTCAAGGTACAATCGCTGCTCTTTATGTTTATATATGTATATATACGCCTGTATATATCGTATATGTATGCTCGTGTCGCGTACACAAAAAGATCTATAAAGAAAACCCGCACATCGGAAGCTGACAGGCATGCATGTTTACTCACTTATATTAAGAATTGAAATTTGGGGTTTTGGTTTTAATTTGAATTTTATGAGACGCTTTTCTTGGTTTTCCAATTTTGATTACGGATTGTTCATCTTTCATTTCTTTATTTGTTTTTGGCAGATATGGAAAGTGAGGGAGTGCATGTGGTCGCTTGACGAAGAACTGGAATTTTTTGGTAGTTCAATTTCCTGATGAAAGGAAAATCGGGAGAACTGTTGACAAGTAAGAATTGAATTCCAATGTTGAATCTTATTTCATTCTTATTTTTTAGAATTTTTAGTTGTTCTGATGATTGAGAAAATTGGGGATATTAATCATTAGTTAATTTATATCGACGATTCTTTACCCATTTAATTAGCTTAACCATTAGTACACTGAAGAAACTTGGGTTTTTGAAAATTCATGATTTGTTTATATAATTGTATAATATTATTTTGAATACGGAGATTTTTCAATATTTAATGGGGTTTGTTTCTTCAGTATATGTAATATCAGCATTTTCCTTCACTCAGAGAAAAATTGGCATTTCCTCTGCATCGGCTTGCAGCTTGAAGTGGCAGCATCACCTCAGCAAGAATCTGAACCTTAAGCCTGACAAATTAACCCTGTTTGCGGACCATATATGTGTAACTGATCAGCTTTTGGGTCGAGTTAATGCTACTACTCCATCGAGCATTGAGGATCGAGTTTCTCCAGCAACATCCACTGTTTCAATGGTATCCTGCTTTCAAACTTTTAAGAAGGATATCTCTGTTCCAAAACTCTGATTAATTTCTTTGGCACAATGGTTAAAAAGCATTTTGCATATTGCTTATTTATACGTATGCATTGGATAATATTTCATCTGGCTTATTTACTTCGTGATCAGTTTCTTTTTCAATTTCTTTAGAAGGGAGATAGCCGAGATTTGTTAGATGGGAATCGTAAAGTTGCAGATGAGCACTCTGAGAAATCCATAATCTGGAAACTGACAGAAGTGAATGAATGATCGCAGTGTCAGTCCCTGAGAGCTCCAGATAGTTTAACGTTGACGAGGGTAATAATTAACTCAGCCAGCGACCATTTAAAATGCCTAGATAGATATTTGCCTACAAATGGATTTAATTTGACCATTTTGAACTCCTATCTATTCCTCTAACCTGCTTCATGCTTTATAAGCATGGTCATGTGGATAGTAAAAAATCCAAAGTTTTTACATGAAATTAGAATAACGGCGATTCAACTTCTTAAACAGTTTGTTAGCTGTGTCTTTGACCTCTGAAATATTGACAGTTGGAGAATATAGTTTATTCCACTCCATTTTCAACATCAAGTATCCTTACAAACTTCACCACTATCAAGTTTTGATCAATTTTGTGGCCACCGATATAGCCTGAGATATATCTAAAGAACTTGCAAGATAATGGAGAGATTGCTTGCAGTTAATTTCTGGTTTCTGTTTGTCACACTGACTCTGTGAAGCCCTCTAAATTCTATTCTATCAATTTCTCAGGTTTCAAGGTTGATGTACAGCAATTCAGGAAAAGCTATATTGGCTTTATATGCCAATGCTGTCCATACTCTCTGGAAATGGCCAAAAAGTGACTGTAACCCGACAAGGGAGGTATTGGTCTATTACACTAGAAAATTTCCCTTTTTTTTTTTTTAAACAACAGTAGCATCTTCTTATGCAATCAAACTTCTTGTAGGCAAGAGCAAATACTATGCCTCAATTATGGAAACCTCGTACCAGGATACTGATGACCAATAATATTAATCACACGAATCCTGAAGATAGGGTGCCATGCTTTGATCTGTCCAAGAATGATGCTTATGTTATATCGGCATCAGGAGGGAAAATTTCTCTATATAATATATTTACCTTCAAAGTAAGTGGGTTTTGTTCTGCTCATTTCTTGCTTTTATCCATTAAGCATTGAATCATACAGTGTTTTTTCTTCTCATTATGTATTGAAATATATTGGAAGAGTTTGATTTGGGAACATCTGGCAATTAATTTTCTTTGGTAGACACGAGTTGCTCTCAATTTGTTTACTCTGCTAACTTGCTTGTTGTAACATGTTAGATCAATTTATTCTCTTTGGTAAACACAAGTTACACTCTTAACATACTTGTTATAACATTTTTGTTCTATCAACAGACAATGGCAACATTCAATCCCCCTCCACCTGCAGCAACATTTCTGGCATTTCATCCCCAAGACAGTAACATCATAGCAATAGGCATGAATGATTCATCTATCCAAATATATAATGTCAAGTTTGATGAGGTAGTAACTAGTGGTGAACTTCTGGCTTAAATTTGAGAGTCAAACATGTTAATGAGTCAAGCCATGTTATTATTGCGTTCCCTTTGTAACAGATCAAAACTGAGCTTAAAGCTCATCAGAAAAGGATAACTGGCCTTGCCTTCTCTAATATTCTTAACGTGCTTGTATCATCAGGAGCTGATTCTCTGGTAAGGAGCTTTTTTTGCAGATGCATCTACAATTGGTAAAACTGAAGTTCCTATTAGTGCCTATATCTATTCCTTTCTCTAAACCTTCTCACAGTAACCATACTGGGAGTACCTGTTTGGGAACAACAAAGTGGACCTAACATGATCTAAGTATAAATTTGAGAGAAATTACTCGTAGGTTTTAGTAAGTAGGCATTTCTTTAACCTCTTTCCTTGTATATTTCGAAATTTATATGTATTGGCCATTTACTTCTGTATATGGCCGTCCTTTCCTTTCTTTGAGTTTATGAAGTTGGCTAAGCATTGCATTGTTAAGAATTTTCAGCCACTGACCCGTTTTTGTTTAACCAGTTGTGTGTTTGAATCATTGATACATGGGAGAAGCAAACAAGTGAATACTTGCAAAGCTCACCTGGTTGCTCGGCTGCTTCTCTTGCTGATACGCACGTACAATTTCACTGCAATCAAACACATTTACTAGCATTCCAAGAGAGACAGATAGCAGTATATGAAGTACCTAATTTGACATGTCTTGTGCAGGTGTAGTATATGAACTTACACATGAATATAGTTCTTATAAATTATTGCTGCGAATTGTTCTCTCTCTGTTCCAAAGTTTTTTGATTTTAACATTGTTCCTTTCTTGGATGCTGATGCAATTACTTTCTTCTTTTTTCTAATCTAAATAGTCTGTACCCCGACGTGCTAGTGGTCGAATCACATGTGCTACATATTCTTGCGATGGCCAATCCATATACATCAGCTTTGAAAATGGAAGTATAGGTGTTTATATTGCTGCATCATTGTGTTTGAGATGTTGAATCAATTACTATGCATATCATATGCACCTTCCTATCCAACGTGTGTACTACTGAAATTTCTTGAATTTGAATTCAATCACCAGAAAACTAACTGCAATTATCAAAGTATATTTTCTTCCACGTACTCATTATCTGATGATATTTATTTTTGCAGTGTATCGGCCTATCCCTTAGTTATTGCTGCTCACCCTTACAAGCCTAACCAATTTGCATTAGGACTTACTGATGGTGGAGTGGGTGTAATTGAGCCACTAGAGTCGGAAGGCGAGTGGGGCACCTTACCTCCACAAGAAGCCAGTGCTGGTTCAAGCACGGGTCATGCAGCTAGTTTTGATCGACCTCAAAGGTAAATAGGTGTATACATACAGCGGCCTTCCCATGAAACCAAATGAGTGTATTTCTTGTGTTTTAGGACAGTGCCATTTTTTTCCTTCTTAAAGAAAAGCTGCATTATAGTTGTAGGTCAGTTTTTTAGAGTTAGTTTGGAGGGCAGATATCGAGTTGGTAGTTATCTTTACATTGAATAAAGGGATTTTTTGTCCATGGTTACAATTAAATGATGACAAGTGAAGGTCATTTGATGTCCTGACTGGTCTGAGCAAGGTAGATTTAGCCCAGGCTTGGGCTCTAATTCCTAATTTTGTTTCGTTTGAACGTTTATTTGTTACTACTAGAAAAGTTCATGAATTCGAAAGGTTTCCATCTTAAAAAATGTATTGATTTTTAGCTAGTATAAACTGTTTCACCTGTAATAGTTAAGCATGTTGATGCACTTTTTCCTTTATGTGCGTGTATGTATCTCGGTGCACCGTACAGGGGTGGGGCGGAGAGGGACAAATCGGTCATGCAACACTTTTAAGCGTCTGTTTGGCCCTTTTAAAATTCATTAAATTATTTTTCCTGCCACTTTTCAACATTCCTTTTTTGAAACAAGTGGGGTCCTTGTCTGCCACTTTTCTCATCCATTGGCAGTAGTTTATTTTAGTCAAACAAACCGTTGAGGTAATTGGACAATAACACACTCCAACATCAATGATAGAAGACAAAATTACCCCTCATTCAGTTATCCTTTTTTTAGATTTTCATTGGTTAGTGGTTGGGAGGGTATTACTGTCAATTAGGCATATAAAGTGAAGTGTACCCTTCATTATTAATGAAAATCGTTTCCTTTCATGGCACATGTACGTTCTGAACAACTTAACACATGCGGTCTGCTTTTGTTTGAAAATTTGGTAAATAATGCCAATTAATGAGTTTTAATGGGGGCGAAATGGGGGGCTAAATATTTTTGGATTATTGAAGGTTTTTGATATATGCTTAGGCTATGTTTGAACCACATTTTTTCAAAAAAATACATTCTTAAATAGTGATTTGACATTATTTCAATCACACATACTTGAATAAAATAATATTACACGTAAATCCAAAATTTTTCTTAATTTTTTAAATACACATTTTTCATCAATACACTATTCAAAAATGCATTCTTATAAATATAAGCGAGGGCTTAAAATTCATATCGAATGATAAATGTTCCCAGGCACTCGATCTCCAGGGTGTATTCCCATAAAAGCTCGATTACGATTAGCCATATTAACAATTTTCTTAAGATTTTGGACAGTTAGTCCTTAACCTTTTAACACTTATAGCAAGTACATCCTCAACTTTTAAAATCGATCTTTTCAGTCCCCAGCCTTTATTTCCATTTGCTTGGTTTTACTTGATTACTCTTTTTTTTCTTTTTGGTCTTTCGTAATCAAACATGTACTCAACCTATGGAGCATCAAATTACTCTCATGCATACTAATTAAGCTAATTACAAACTACCATTGAAATGACTGAACAAATTATATTTTCCCTATTTCGTGGGGATTAAAATCAGATTTTTTTAAACATTGTTAAAATGTATGATTGAAAAGTTGTAAATCTCATAAAATATATTGTTAAAATTAATTGTTGATTTTGATTTAGATTAATATCTATATTTTAATTTCTACCAATCAGGGAAGTATTATTATGGATAGATAAATCTGAACATGTCATTATGATGTAAAAATGTCAAAATTGCGCCACAAAACCAAATACATTGAATGAGTAGGCATTTATTTCTTTAGCTTAAAACAACGCTTTATTTATTTATTATTATTATTATTTTGAATTTTTGGGTGTTGTATAATCAAATCTGTTTTTTTCTTTAAAAAATTGTTGATTAATTTAAATTTTTTTTATTTTCTTCATTATTTTATTTTTATGTTTGTGCTGTTAGTCCAATTGCGGGTTAATTACCCCAAAAGTCACTGAAGTTTGCCAAATGTCACCTGAGAAGTCACTGAACTTCAAAAGCTTACTGAGAAGTCACTAAACTTTACATAAGTTGAGTATACAACTTGAATTGAAAATCTTATTCTTTGACTATTCAATGAATGAAGCTTTTGTTGGTTGAAGTGTTTAATTTGGATTTGAACTCTTTGAATCTTCTTTTATTGTTGAAGTTTCCAATTTGGATTTGGACTAGTTGAAGATAGATTACAAATTATCCTTTTAACACCCCCTCTTAATTTGTAATCTTCAAGTACTTCTTGAATTTCTTAAACTTATCAATCGTCATTGGCTTTGTCATCTTATCGGCCGGTTGATCATTGATATTTATAAATTACATGCAATTTCTTCTTGATTTACCAAATCTCTTATAAAGTGATGTTGAAGCTCAATATGTTATGACCTAGCATGGAAGATTGGATTTTTTGCCATCGCAATTGTCGACATATTGTCGCAATAAATTGTTGTTGGTCCTTCCTACTCATATTTCAAATCTTTCAAAATTCTAAACCAAACAACCTCGCAAGTTAAGTTTGTAACAGTGATGTACTCTACTTCAACTGATGATAAAACAACAAATTTTTGCTTTTCTAAACACCAGGAAATCACATTTGATCCAAGACAAAAGATGTATCCGGAAGTGCTCTTTGGATCATCAACTGATCCAGCCCAATCACTATCTATATAGCCAATGAGTTTGCAATTATTCTCTTTTTTAAACTCTATGCCAAGGTTCTTGGTTCCTTTAAGGAATCTCAAAATTCTTTTTGCTGCTGCAAAATGTAGTTTACTTGGTTCATTCATAAATCTGGATAACAAGCTAACTGAATATGTAATATCTGGCCTTGTATTAAGATAAATCAATGAACCAATTAATTTTCTGTAGAGTGTGGCGTCAACTTTTTCTGCATCATCATATCATTTAAGGCCATTGGAGTAGATATTGGCTTGCACTCGCTCATTTTGAATTTGTTGAGAAGATCATCAATATACTTTTCCTGAGAAAGAAAAGTTCTTCCTGGCCTTTGCTTTACATAAATCCCAAGAAAATATCTCATGAATCCGAAGTCAGACATTTCAAAATATTTCATCATTTGCTTCTTGAATTCATCCACCATGTGTTCATTTGTTCCAAAGTAGATAAGGTCATCCACGTAAAGGCATACGATAAGAAAATCCTTTTCTAAGTTTTTCACATAGAGGGATGATTCACTCGTGCTTCGATTGAAGCCATTTTGAATGAAATAGCATTTATTTTGCTATTCCATGCTCGGGGTGCTTGTTTTAACCCGTATAATTCTTTTTGATGATGATAAGTTTTGTCTTCTTTGCCTTTGATTTTGAACCCTTCGGGTTGTTCAACATACACTTCTTGAATTTTGCCATTTAAGAATACTGATTTTACATCGAGATGAAAAACTTTTAATTCCAATTGAGCTGTTAATGCCAGAACTGTACATATTGTCTCCATTCTTGCAATTGGAGCAAATGTCTCTGTGAAGTCGACTCCTAGTTGTTGAGAATATCCTTTGACCATGAGCCGAGCTTTATATTTTTGAATTGACCCCTTTTTATTGTATTTAATTTTATGGACCCATTTCAAACCAGTAGTCTTCTTTCCTTCTGGTAGCTCAACGATCTCCCAAGTTTTATTTTTCTCAATGGGAGATATTTCTTCATTCATTACTTTTGCCCAACTTTCGTCTTTTGAAGTTTCTTAATATGATTGAGGTTCACAAGAGAATAATCCAAGTTCCTGCAATTCATATATTTCTCTTAGTGAACGTGCATTCCTTGGAGGGGTTTCTGATTCTTCTTCAATTGTTAGAATTTTGGAGCTGTAAGTTGTTTAGTGTTGGAGATTTGAGACGTTGATGGATCATCAAATTGATAGAGGCTGGAATCCACGACTTGCTTTCCTTTCCAATCATAAGTTGTACTTTCATCGAACACAACATCTCAAGAAATCGTTATTTTATTTGTCTCTGGGTTTAACAAATGATATCCTTTAGACTCGTCACTATATCCAATGAATAGAACTTTTTGTCATTTCTCATCAAAATTTTCTCTGTTTTGTGATGGAATGAAGGCATAGGCAATGCTACCAAAAATTTAAAGTGATCTACCTTTGGCTTCTTTTTATGCCATGCCTCGAATGGAGTTTTATTAATGACAGCTTTTGTAGAAGATCGATTGAGAATATATACTGCCGTATTTACAGCTTCTGCCCAATAAAGATTTGGAATTCCTTTGCCTTTTAACATGCTTCTTGCCATTTCAACAATAGTACGATTCTTTCTCTCAGTTACTCCATTTTGTTGTGGAGTTTTACTAATTGTTAGTTGCCTTTGAATGCCATTAACTTCGTAATATTCAATGAAGGGATTGTAGAGAAATTCTCCTCCACGATCGGTCCTCATCGTCTTTATTAGAAATCCACTTTGTTTTTCTACAAGTGCTTTAAACTTTAGAAAAGTAAAGAATGCCTTAGATTTTTGATTGAGAAAGAAAATCCACATCATCTTCGTGTAATCATCAACAAAGAGAATGAAATATCTCTTGTTTCCAGGAGTAGGAGTTTGCATTGGTCCGCAAATTTCTGAATGAACAAGCTCCAATGGCATTTTTGCTCACCATGAAGTTTTAAGAAATGGAAGTTTATGCATTTTCCCATAAATACTACCTCCACACAATTTGTTGGTCCTTTTGAATTTTAGGAAGCCCAATCACCATATTTTTCTCCTTGAGCAATTGAAGTCCTCTGCCATTTAAATGGCCATATCGCAAATGCCATAGATGTGGCAAATCTGCATTTTCAACTTTGAGTGCACAATTGTTGTTTAGTGGCAACATGAGACAAAAAGTTGTTTTTCATTTTAACATTTGCCACTATGACATTTTTCTTTTTATCAACTATCTTGCATCTTTCATCTTTCATTATCAAAGTGTACCGAAAAATTCTTTTGCAAGAGTTATCCAATACTTAAGAGATTATATGAAAGATTTGGCATATAAAGAACATTAGTAGTAAGCTCTCTGCTACTTCCCTTAGTTTGAACTGTAATGATGCCTTTTCCTTCTGCTCTTCTATGTGTTCCATTTCTAAGAATAATTTGAGAAGTGATATTTTGATTTATCTCTACAAAGATATCTTTATTTCCTGTCATGTGATTGCCAGCACTGCTATCCAAATACCATTTATTTTTTGATTTAAAGTCACCATTTTGATGAGATTAAAATATAATTTCATCTTCACTTTCTTTCAAAAAATTTGTCGCATCTTCATTTTTCTCTTTATTTTGAAACCAACAATTCTTTTGAGAATGATTAATAACTTTACATCTTTTGCATTTAAAATAGCAATATTTTGATTCATGATTGTTCTTTTTGCAAATAATGCAAGATTGGGCCTTACCGAATTGTTGTGGTGCCTTGGCTTTCCAATTGCCTTGCTTTTCATTTTGACTCCACTTGCTAAACTCCCCCCCCCCCTCTTTTTTTTGTTTGAACCTCCATGATTGCTTGAACTTATTTTGAATGCTTGCTTTGATTGGAAAGCTTGTTCAATTGATAGACTAGCCGAACGATTGATTCTTTGCTCATGTGCAAGAAGTGATCCGATCAACTCGTACATGGTTACTTTAGACAAATCCTTTGATTCTTCAATTGCGGTGGCTAAATGATTGAATTTTAAAGGGAGACATCAAAGCACCTTTTCAACAACTCTTTTGTCTTAGTATCTCCACAACTTTTGATTTGGTTTACAATCTTCGAAACTCGTGAAGAGAAATCACGAACCGATTCCCATTCTTCCATTTTGAGATTGTCAAAATCTTTCCATAAAGATTAAAGTTTCAAGGCGATAGTTTTCTCCGAACCTTGAAATTCTTGATTTAAAATTTTTCATACATCTTTGGCTTTTTTAACATCAAATATACGAGAAAAAAATGATTTCCCAACTCATTGTTAAATATATTGTAACGCCATTGCATCTTTCTTTTTGTATTCCTTTTGCACCTTCGGATCTTCTTCATCTCCTTCGGTCTTCATCTTCTACCACCTCTTCATCTTCAATGACTTCCCATAAATCTAAAAAGATGAAGAAATTTTGCATTTGACTACTCCAATATTCATAGTGCTCTCCTTCAAAGATTGGTACTTGACTTGGTGAATAAATGAACAAGGAGGCTGCTGAATTTGTTGCCATAATTGTCCTGTTTTTGTTAAAAAAAAAATATGCTGGTGCTATGGTTTTTTTTTTTAGGCTGGTTTTGTCTCAACTTTTGGTAGGATTTGGTCTTCTATTCAACCTAAGCTATGATACCAAAATTTGTTGGGTGTAGAAGAAGATAGTTGTGAGAAACATGAGGTTTTACTAATGAAATTTGGGGGATTACAAAGGGGTTGCTACAACACACTCTTTTTCTCCATTTTTTGAGAGGTTTTTCTCACTTCTTTCTCATACTTTTACACTAGATGGACACCTTCCTATTAATAGAGAACATTGAGTAAGCTAGACCTAATTCAACAAGATAATAGCCTTTTTTTTTTCATTTTTGTCTTTAATTATATCTGTGTTTGAACATGAGAAGTGTCAAATGGCTACTGCTTGATGTAATTTCCAGGTTCCAGATGTTTGTTAAAATCAGATTGTTGTCTATGTTGATTTCCAGCTTGCATAAGTTGAGTATATATCTTGAATTGAAAATCTTATCCTTTGACCATTCAATGAATGAAGCTTTTGTTAGTTAAAATGTTCAATTTGGATTTGAACTCTTTGAATCTTTTTTTGTTGTTGAATTTTCCAATTTGGGTTTGGCCTAGTTGAAGATAGATTACAAATTATCCTTTTAACATGATATTGAACACTAATTTAGATATTAAACATATCATTGATCGTATAAACTGGTCTATCATTCATCATATTTAACTGAATCTATAATTTAATGTAGAAATTACATCTAGGGCTTTTTTTTTTTTTAAAGTTTGCATTTCATAATAAAGATTTTAAGTTTCACTTTTCACAATTCATATTATAATTAATTATTTAACATTATAATTAATTATTAAACATTTATTAAATAAATACTCTATCTAATTTTCTCACCAGGCACTTAGCCCTAATTCATCACAAATCACTATCACTGCATTCTCTCTCCACCATCTACTCTTCAGGAACACCAACGTTGACAACACCGTCTTCACTAGCCGGTGACCATCGTATGCAACCATTTGCAGGATCGCTACGCAGCGCAGCAACCACCATCCGAAGCGCTCGTAGGATCGTTGGGCGTCACTACAGTGATGGCGCTGCGTGCAAATCACCGTTGCCAAAGCAGCAACGCAGCAACAACACCTGCTGGAAGCAATGACGGTGGTGAATGTAGGCCAAGTCACAGGTTGCTGCGTAGGTGTTGATGACGGAGGTGACTAAGCAGCAACTATTTGGGTTCGTAGATGGAGGTGACCGAATCCGCTATGCAATGCCACGCTTGCAGCGCCATGCACGGGTGGTATTTCAGTGCGTAGGCGGCGTTTTGGTGTTCTACTTGCAGCGCCGTGCGCGATAGTCGCTCAGCCGTGCAGGTGTTGTACGTCCAGACCTGAGTAGCGGTGCGTTTTTCTTTTTCTCTTTTCAATCCCCAGCCTTTATTTCCATTTGCATGGTTTTACTTGATTTCTCTTTTTATTTTTGGTCTTTCATTTTCAAACATGTACTCAACCTATGGAGCATCAAATTACTCTCATGCTTACTAATTAAGCTAATTACAAACTACCAATGAAATTACTAAACAGAATATATTATCCCTATTTAGTGGAGATTAAATTAAGATTTTATTAAATGTTGTTAAAATGTATGATTCAAAAGTTGTGAATTTCGTGAAATATGGAGTATGTTTGTCTCCTATTATGGGAGAAATTATGGAGTTTTAAATAGTAATTTTGGGGACTATGTTGTTAAAATTTAAAGAAACTTTATTAATTTGTGTGTAGAATATTTTATTGTGTGAATGTATGATGGAAAATGTTATTGTAGCAAATAATTTAATTTGTTAAAGGATAACAAATAGAGATATATTGTTAAAATTAATTGTTAATTTTGGTTTAAATTAAAATC